GAATGGGAAGGGGCGAAATGGGAATAAACCCTTTTCCCCACCTTCCCCTTTGGTTTCATTTTACAATAAAAACTCACCACTATGTTACATGTTTTCTCTTTCCAGAAACGTGTGTGTTTGCCTTCCTCGGTCTCTCCATCTTCAGCTTCCCTCATAACTTTGAAATATCCTTCGTCGTCTGGTGCATAGTAAGTGCCCTTTCGTTTTGGAACATTATTTGAATGTTGTTTTGTTCCTGGTGATGATCCCCATGAATGTCAGTGACAGCTCTTGTTCTCTCTCTAGGTCCTGGTTCTTCTAGGCCGAGCAATAAACATCTTCCCCCTGTCATTCCTGCTCAACTTCTTCAGAGATCACAAGATCACTCCCAAAATGATGTTCATCATGTGGTTTAGTGGTGAGATGAGCCTTTTGTCTAACATGTCACAAAAAACAACAACATTCAGCTCTTTGTTAGTTTTGTCTAAGCTTTGATCACTGCCCTAATATATTGTGCATCTCTCTAGAGCAGGGATGTCCAAACTACGGCCGGGGGCCAACTGCAGCCTGTGGTCCATTTTTAATTGGCCCACAAAATATCTAAAATATTTTACGCAAACATGAAACTTGTGCTTGTTTTATATTCTTAAATATGTACATATATATGGCACAGTATTCAAGTATTAATATGCCAGATTTTCAAATAAATTCAGTCAATTAAAATGTTTCCAACTAATCTTAGTTGATAAAAAAAGCCCAAAAACGTATTTTCATAACAGGATTGAAATACATCCTCTCTCCCAGCCCTTCTGTTTCTCTGTATGTGGCCTTCAGTGAAAAATGTTTGGATGCATCTGCTAAGTAGTCTAGGGATGAAACAACTAGTCTATTATTTAATAAAACTACTGTCATAAAAACTAAATCTGCAACTATTTTTGATAGTGGGTTAATTGTGTTATTGTCATTTAGCAGACACCCCGACTCTCTTATTATGAGACATGGTCAAATAGCATTTGTCACTATTTTTGACATTATATGAACAAATGAATCAATCATTAGAGGTAAGAATCAGTCAATCAATAAAGCTTTTAACATTTTCTATAAAATAAATAGATGATTAAAACATGTCCATCATACTATTGTCCAGATATATTTACAAACGTTCTTTACAGTCAAGTATGTCTTCTCATAGTCCCGTTCTCTCGTCTCTTTCCTGGTCTGGCAGGTTTGCGAGGTGCCATCCCTTACGCCTTGAGTCTCCATTTGGGCCTGGAGCCAATTGAGAAAAGGCAGCTTATTGGCACCACCACCATCATCATTGTTCTCTTCACCATCCTCCTCATGGGGGGCGGGACCATGCCACTCATTCGCATCATGGACATCGAGGAAAGCAAGTCGCGGCGTAAGAACAAGAAAGACATCAATCTCAGCAAGACGAAGAAAATGGTAAAAGCTGAAAGACATATGTTTCACTATAACAGTCTGTTTGTTGCCTGCTTTGATACCAGTTCGGCCATTCCCTCTTCCACAACCAGTCCCTTATGTTCTCTTAAAAGGGGAAAACATCTGAGGGTTGATTGTGGTTTGTAAGAAGGACACTGAATCAGCAAACCATTCTTATCTCACAGTTTTACACTTAGTCGCAGCACAACTCAGACAAGCATCATTAAGCTCTAACAGCTCTCATTATTACAATTTCCCAGAAGAACCGTACAATTGGTTCTATTATATTTGGCTCTATAGACTCTAACTCTTGACATAAGCTCTCTTCTAAAGTAAATCTTGTATTGGAGGTAATTGGTGGCATATGGTGGTGTGTTTGCGTGACCTGTGTCTACAAAATGTACAGTATTTGATGTCCTCCAAAGCTAAGTGTTATTCCCGGGCTAGCAGGAAATCTATCAGCTCTCTGATTTTCCTTTCTGCTCTCAATCCCTCTTTGATGTAATTCGCTCTCTTTGCTCCCTCGGCTCTTCCCCCCTCATCTCTGGTCCTTCAGTGTGTGATCTCAACTCCAGACTTTCCCCTGCAGCGGACTTCCTCTCCTCCATCTCTTTTAACCCTACCTCATTTGTTGGCCTCTCCTCTCACTTCCCTCTATCTTTTTCTATTTATCTGACTTTCCCTCCCTTCCTTATTTCTCTCCAGGGTAATACCATTGAATCCGAGCACCTTTCTGAGCTGACAGAGGAGGAGTACGAGGCGCATATCTACCAGAGGCAAGATCTGAAGGGCTTTATGTGGCTAGATGCTAAATACCTTAACCCCTTCTTCACTCGCAGGCTCACTCAAGAGGTAAGTGAGAGAGAGACAGACATCCTCAAAGTCCCTTTCCCAAACATACATTAGTTTTTCCCATACTGGTTTTCTTCCAGTCCTTTTTTTTGACATCCCATAAACAGAAAAGCTTCACAATATATCAATCACATAACTGCCGATTTGATTAAGCTCATTGTTGTCTTTGGGCTTTTTAGACTATGACAGGTGGTGATTCAGGTCACTTCAAATGTTTTAAGCCATACAGGGTTAGTTAACTATTTGTGGCCCTTGTTAAGGCAGTCAACGATTACATGACTGCAAGTATATGTTTTGCACCCTGCACTTATGTATACCTTCTGACTGGTCTCTATCTGAAATATAATGTCTGGGAAAAGCAGGTGTAAAATCCTGAGTGACGATTTCTGTTGATGAGGCCTTCCTGTAATGTAAAAAAACGGATTTTCTGACCATATCGCACAAACTACAGCGGTTCCCTCCTGAAACGTGGGGTCAAACACATTTCATTTACTATACCTCGTTCACTATAAAAGCATTGTGCATCATTGTGGTGACAAAAAGCTTTGTGTAATTTTCTGTACGCCAAGTTATATACTTCACCTCAGTTCATTTTCTATAGTCTAAAAGTCACTTGTAAAATGGTGATTATCAAACCTCTGCTGAAGGGTACATACTGGATACCATTGGTAATTAGTTTAATATTGTTACCTTGTGTTACAGAAATTGTAATTTAAGATTCACAGTTTTACATTTTTCAAAAGTGCAAAATTATGCCATTTCTCAAGAAGAGATATTTTGAATTGTCCTTAATACCTCAAATATATTTAATGTTGAATCATACCTGTCAAAATATGAAGAAAAGCAGACATTTTAGAGCTTCACCAAGTTATCTTGTGCTGAAGGGCTCTACAGTATGTGTAATGTGTGTCTCACAGGACCTGTTACATGGCCGGATCCAGATGAAGACGCTGACCAACAAGTGGTACGAAGAAGTTCGCCAAGGACCCTCAGGCTCCGAGAATGATGATGATGAAGCTGAACTTCTTTGAACCTAGCAAACATTTTCCGTGTGAATGTGCACAGTGGTTCTGAAATGTGTCAAATTCCAGTGGGGTTCCTGTAAAACTGGAATCCTAAATTGTAACACTGGAACCAAAAAAAGACTTACCTGTGAAATGATATTTCTCCTATAAATGCTATATTGTTACTTGCTAAAGAAACACAGGAAGTTTGGTTGATCTCTTTCCCTGATGCTTCTTTACAACACGAAGGTCTGAATGTCATATGGGTATGTTAAGCAATACTAGAGCACCTTTTTGGCTTTGGTTGGTCCTTCACTTTTGTATTGTCTCTGATCTTTTTAACATAAGCTTCATTTTAATTGAAGTCTGTGTCAGGGGAAGGATGCATCATACTGTTGCTACAGGCTTTATTTTAAAAGTATGATTTGAAATAGGCCACAGGTTGCAGCTTTAAGTGGCTTCCTGTTGAACTAGATTTAATTCTCTCCAGGTTTCTACATGTGTATGCATTAATGAATCTGACTGAACCCATACTGTACATATATAATGAAGATAAAACAAATATTTTTTTCTCTGATGACTCATTTTGTCCGACTTGCTCTGGAGGCTCTCCTACATGAGACGTTGAAATCTCGCGGGACAAAGACGCCCGTAGACTTGAGAACGAGGCGGCGCAGTTTCTCTCCACGGGCTGCGGAAGCGAAATGCTTGATGGTCGCCTAACCAGCAGTGAAGCTGAGCGTCCACTACAGCCTCCAGTAACACAGCAAATGAAGATAAATACTGGAGAGAGTTAAAACTAATGAAAATAATCATTTTCCAAACATTAAACATCTCGCTTACAGGATAATAATTATGCTCAAGGATATTGCTTTCATTTGCAATCATGGATACGGTTTGCCTTCACCAGATCAAGTTTTCTGTTTCTGTTTCAGTCTCTGGCGAGGCTCTTTCCACAAAATGTGTATGTAAGGAAATGTTGCTTTTGTGATTGTTCACTATGTATTCCTAATGAACATAGGAAGCAATGAATGTGTGGGTAACTGGGATCAATAACTTGTGAATCTATTTATTTATCAAATATGTATTTGTTGTTGGTGGGACAAAAGCTTTTTTACTAGCTCTATGAGCACTGCAGAAAAATAGGAACAAATATTAAATAAAACAATATTGACATCCTAAATGTTGTATCAATTGTCTTTTTAAGAAAATGTATTGTACCAGTTCCATCCTTCTGAGATACAAGTCTTTTGAATAGAATTCACTTTGACTTTTTAAGATGACTTTAAACTAATAGAGACTATATTATTATACATTTGATTTATGAACCTTAGCTAATTTTGAAGAGTATACTGAATAAGAAAGGGGAACTGCAAATTACTGAAATCTAGTGCCAAAGTCTGCCAAACCAAAATTGGATGTTGTTAAAAGGAAAATTATAAATGACCTCATACAATCAGATACATAAATGGAGTGTTCTTATATAGTGCTTCATCAGGTGTTTTCAACTCCTTAAAGCGCTTTAAACACTACGAGTAAATCACCCATTCACACCTCATTCGGGAGCAACTTAGGGTTAAGTATCTTGCCCAAGGATACATCAACATGTTGACTGCACTGCCGGGGATTGAACCATAGGATTGAACCCACAACCTTCTGTTTGAAAACGACCACACTCGCTTGCAGCCACAGTTGCCCAAATAAAGCTCAATACTGTGTTAATGTGAACCTAACAGCTCATGTAGGTTTAATTATCATAACTCTAGCAGATAATTAGAAAAAAAAATCCATATTTCAATTGGCGTATCACTGTCATTATGCCACTGGGGTTCTAACTCATAAGCCCCATGTGTTAATAGTTCAAACCATTGTAAATTGGAAGATTATAATGACTAAGACAGAAAGCCAGACTAGTCCATAGAGTAATTAAATTCAGAAGGTTAACGTGTGGTCATGCTGCAGACAATATCCTGTAAAGCTCACTTGTCCAACCCTAAGGAACAAAGGTTGACATACCCTTGAAACTTCTTGTGGGATCTCAGTGTGCATATTGATAAGGAGGTGATAGTGATGAATTTATAAAAGAAACTCAGGGTAACTCTGCAAGGTGGGACTGCAATGCAATAATTTGCTAACATTGATTTGATCAGATAACTAGCATCATTCAGTTAGTGGGTTTGCTGTTTCAAAAACGTTGTTATCAAGAGATAATAGAGAAGGTGTCATATTGCTAACACTGTCCAGCCTAAACTGAGTAGACACCTACCAAAAAGAAAGTAGGCTACAGCTGACAAAAAAGGCAGTACTTATGTATATATTATATATTATACTGTAAATTGATGTCATTTATGTCATTCTCTTAACTTATATGAATTTGTCTGGTAAATAGTGTGTTTGTAATAAGTATGTGCAGCCAGCAGAGGGGGTCTAAATCCAAAGCATTGTTCCATGAAAGATGAATAATACAACACAGTAGGTGATGGTGGTTCTTAAGTATCTCCTTTTTTATACCCCTGTTATACCTAATACCTACTCAACTGTGTATTATATATGATCCCACTGGTTTAAATGCATATACAAGGGTATACTAAATAATAAAAGGAAATGATACAGCTTCTGAGCAAGTAAAGCTCAGCATTTATTCACTCTTAGCTGTAAGCAAAGCCACTCTATTCTCGTTACATTTATACCATTTGGCACCTGGACCTATTTTAAAAATGTTTCCTAAAGTCCAGTTTCCCTCTGGAGTTTCTGACAAGACTTGACAGTTAGTAATACTAATGAATTGGAAACTAATACTTAAACAATCAATTGTTTATCATCTTTCTGGAAACTTGCATGGCATACTGTGTTGGGGGTAAACAATAAATCTGTGTTTAACTGGCAAGCAGCTAGCTTTCGTTTCCATTGTACCTATAGACAATAGAAATGTATTGATATGTCATTATGTCTATGGGAACTCCCGGCCTAAAATCTGGTTCCATGATCTATCCACTATTCTTCACCGGAGCCCAATCTTTTAAATAAGGAAGTATGATTCATAACTCAATGTATCATTTCTTGTTTCGCAACTTACAATATTCTTTTAGATCTTAGATGGTAGCTTAGGAAGCACACAGTTAATGAATCCAGACAGGTCCCCTGTCAAATAACAAATTAAATATGGATTGAATAAATTAGCGAATTTAATTACCATCCTGGTTTACACAGGTGTTGAATTAATATCTGGCATTGGCACTCTAAGAGCTTCTGAGCATACAAATGTACTCGTACATGCATGAATATGTGCGTGTGTGTTGGGCTTTATAGTTTGTGGCAGCTCAATCCCCAGTTACGTTTGAGTCGCAGAGAGGCTAAACTTGGCTATAAACTGTGACGCATTTTTGAAGAGAAAGTCCATATTGAAGCAATATAGTTTTCAGGATATTTAATAAACAAAATCAAAACATAGTAACTATGGACAAAACGGTCAACAGAAAAAATGACAGCACAAGCTCACCCTGTCATCTGCACTCAACATTAAACAGGTGACTTATATAACCAAACCACACCCATGTGACAATTACCGGAAGTGCTCAACAAACAATCAAAGGAGAAGTAAACGAATAATAATAATACAAATAACTTTGTTAATTGGTCTGCTCAGGAAACCAGTCTTGGTCTTGATCCGAAGCATACGCACAAGTCCCTTTTTGTCAACGATGGTCTCAGCAACTTTTCCAGTAAGCCAGGAGTTCCGAGGCGCTGAGTCATCCATAATGATCACGATGTCTCCTGGCGTGAAGTTGCGTCTGACTTTTGACCATTTCTGTTGTTCTTGACCAATTTGCTGCCCTAGGCAAGATTTTAGCTGGCACACTTTTTAAACAATTCCAAGAGGAAAAGTGGTGGATTAATTGGTTGACGGGAATGGGATCCATTTCCTCGGACATGATCTGAGTAGTGTTAATGGTTATGCTCCTGACTTCAGAGTCCTTTAGTGAGATTACTTTCAATCCATCAGGGTTTTGGGGCAACTCTTCTTGAGGTCGAAGTAGAAACTGAGGTCCGGACAACCAGATTTCTTTCTTCAGAAAATATTTTACAGTCGAACCTCGTGAAGCCATGTCTGCTGGATTGTCTATGGTGTTAACATATCTCCACTGTAGTGCATTTGATACTTTGACAATTTCCGAAACTCTATTGGCCACAAAAGTTCTGAACCTTGACGTGTTATTGTTGATGTATTTGAGTGCGGAAGTGCTGTCTGTCCAAAATACAGAATCTGATAGTTCCATCTGTAGCTCCCTTCTTAACATGGTGTCTATTCGGCTTGCCATGGTAGTGGCAGTCAGCTCCATGCGAGGGATAGTGGCTGGTTTTAACGGAGCCACTCTGGCTTTTCCCATTACGAATCCACAATGTGAATGGCCAGAGTTGTTCTGCAGAAACAGGTAACTTACAGTTCCATAACCCTCTTCGCAAGCGTCAGCGAAATGATGCAATTGAGCAGATGACACCGTTCCAAAGTCGGTAGGTTTGAAGCTTCTGTCAACCTTGAAGTCTTCCAGCTTATGAAGGTCTTGGGTCCAACTCATCCACTCCTGTACGATAGATTCTGGTAATTTGTCGTCCCAGCCAAGCTTTCTCATACACAAATCTTGCAGGATTTTTTTTGCAGTGAGGACAACTGGTGCCAATATTCCAAGGGGATCATACACTGAACTGATGCTTGAGAGAATTTCCCTTCTTATGAGCGGCCTATCTTTCAAGATGATTTTGAACTTGAAGACGTCAGACTGAACGCACCATTGTACACCCAGCACTCTCTCCACTGGAAGATTGTCATGGTCCAAATCCAGATTTTTTATTTCCTTTGCTCTCTCCATTTCAGGTATGGCAGCCAACACATGCCGACTGTTACTTATCCATTTTGTTAGTAGAAAGCCTCCCTTGGAACAAATGGCTCGTAGTTCATGATAAAGGGCTGTTGCCTCTTCTTCTGAAGCTGTTGAAGTGAGACAGTCGTCTACGTAAAAGTTATTCATAATTGTGTTTATAGCTTGAGGGCTGAACTGTTCTAGATTGTTTTCGGCTCATTTCCTAAGGGCAACATTTGCACAGCTTGGGGATGAGGTTGCTCCGAAGAGATGCACGGTCATTCTATATTCCACCAGGTTCTGACTGCAGTCTCCATCAGGCCACCAGAGGAACCGTAACAAGTCACGGTCTTCACTTGGAACTTTCACTTGGTGAAACATGGCTTCGATGTCTGCAGTGATGACAACAGGATCTTTACGGAATCTAGACAAAACTCCCAGCAAGGTACTAGTCAGATCCGGCCCCTGGAAGAGCTGAGAATTTAGTGAAACTCCCCGAAATGTTGCTCCACAGTCAAACACTACTCAAAGTTTGTTCTTTTGTGGATGCAAAACTCTGTGATGTGGTAGATACCATTTTTTACGAGGGCCGTATCAAGTGGTCTCGCGGACCGTATACGGCCCGGAGGCCGGAGGTTCCCCACCCCTGTTGTAGACTCTCGGACATCTGTGCCATGCTTGAGTTCCCCTCGAGTACGCTGCCTGTCTTAATAAAGCTTTGATACTGACAGGCACAAAGCCACAAATACAAACAGTTATATATGTAGAGCAAGACAAATTATTAATGTTATTAAATCAACAAATTAGCACGGAAATAGACCCAGGACAATAGTTATCCCTGTGCACTGCGTGGAAAATGAAACAACAACCCACCAGGAGACGCTAGCAGCAACCAGGTGGGGCTGAAGACCACAGAAAACAAATTAAGAGCTATTTAAAGAGCGGTGACATGGCTGAGGTTTTGCCGTGCAGCTGTTTCCTTGTGGAGACGAGAGAGAGAGCAGAAGACTGAGAGAGTGAGAGATTTCAAATGGAACAACTCCCAGGGGCAGGAGCATTCATATTTGCTGGGAACAACAGAAACATAAACAGGGCTGTTGAAGAAATATAACAGCCATTACCTGAGCAGAAAGTGCTTGCTGACAATGAAAAAAAACATTTTCATTCAGCGTGCAACTGTCCCTCAGAAGTGAATGGAATGAACCCGGTGAAGGGAAAACAGTCTGTGGTCATGGGAGGAGGAGGGTCATTGTGTGTGTGTGTGTGTGTGTGTGCGTGTGTGCATGTGTGCATGCGTGCGTGCGTGTGTTTGAGCTGTGACAAA